AAGACTTCAATCTCAGAAGGACCCGGCAATGTGCTCGGTGTTGCATCCGGAGTTTGCAAATTAAGTTCATTCTTCGACAGAATAGTTATAGTGGCACCGACCACCTCAAGCAATCCGTCCATTGACCTATCCCATGGATGTATGAGTGCATTTGATTCTACAACATGCCATGATTCCTCATCGGAGTGCATAAGGGTGGTCCTATAGGAGTATTGCTCGGTGTTTACTTCTGCACGAGGGTCGAGGAACTTCCCCTCACAGGGGCTGTACTTGACCTTACATTCGGCGTAGTCACACCATCCATCACTGATTCCGCTTCCGATGAAAGCTAACCAGCCCTGATTCCAGACTGCTCGGGCACCGGATCCTCGGAGAACTGGTCCCTTCGGAAGAGTGGTGTCTGATGTCTCAAGGGTTTCCGCCTTTGGGTTTGGGACGGCGCTCTCGACAGCATCTTGGACTTCAAGGACTGTTTCGACTTCCTCTTCGGCCGCGTCAGCGATCTCTCCTCTGCGAACCATTTCCTTGCGATCCTTCAGTGGGAAGGTGAACGGTTCAGGTACGTCGATGCGAATGACTCTTTTGATCTGATGCATATCCTCGTACTTATCTGCTTTGGCCGACTTGAGATCAACTACGAAATATTCTGTCCTCCATTGAAACCCTGGGTGAACGATGTAACCAACGAAGACCCCTGCACTTGATGTGGGATCGAATCTCAGCTCATCTTTGGGTTTCTTTTTGGGACCATTCCAGTAGTTCACCATGCATCCAAAAGGCCAACACTTAATAGGTGATTGTTCCCCGAATCTCAGCTCCCATGGAGAGGCAGTTCCATCTAGAGCATACAAATTGTTGTTCATGACACACCAGTGACGTGCAAGGCCAAAATCCGTGGTTGAGACCGGATTGCAAGAGGTTCACACGAGTTCCTTCAAGCACGGTTCGGATCGACCTTTCCGCTACGGCATTGCTGGCGGATATGTATGCCTTTGATAGTACATGTCTCCACTTCAGCTCTTTCATGGCATTGATCAACTCAGGAGCGTTGTCGGAATAACAAATTCCCACTTCATCATCATTCGAAACAAAGTGTTTCATAGCCAGGATGACTGATTCGGCACTCTTTCTAGCACTGGGATACACATACATGCACACTTCTCTTCATCGATTCCCATTTCATATTCATCACCGGTAATGAGAAAATCACATGTAATGTGATCACCGAATTTCTTGGCTTCAACTATTGAGGACCCGTCTTGCCGATATGATGGAGGCTTAGTCATTTTTGCTTTGTTGCAAACGTCACAATATGGGTTCTTGGGGTGATGGCTCACCAGATGCCCAAGTGATTTGGCCTCTTTCTTCAACAATGATATCCCCTTTCCCAGGTTCCTGTCCAAGTTGCCTTCGGCAGGTACCTGCGGAACATCATCATCAACATCACCCATCGGCGAGACCTTCCGGTCCGCATTGCCCTTCGGTGCTTCTTTCTCTTTCTCCGGCGCAGCCTTCCGGCCCGCTTCATTCTTCTCTGGGCTCTCTTTCAACACATTCATCCCGTCATCACCCGAGGCCGATGCCGGTTCAGCAGGAACAGCTGTACCACGTCCAGGAGCTATGGGATGTAGAGACGTTGGAGCCAATGAGGAAGACGAAGTCGAGCGGGGCCGATCGATTGGATTGGGAGTGCACGGATTGGCGTTTGACTTGGCCCTGGCAGGAATGTAGGGGACGTAATCCCTGACCACGAGCTCTATCTTCTCTCCGTCCGGCTTCCTAAAATAGGGTGGTTTGCCGGATCTCCAAATGAAATCATAACCTTGATCAACGCATCTCATTCCGACAGACATGACCGGTGGTGTCGACTCGAGCAAATACGGATCAAACCTACAACTCAATGTGTCGTTGTACACCTTGGCCTGAAGGTTCGACGAACTATGACCATTAGCTGTGATGATAGCAATCGGCCGGTCCGATCGATATTGGAATTCATCAGGGATGTCATGTCGGGTCAACAGGTCCTGAGCGCTTCCGGTGTCTGCGATCCAGTCCTCATGCGAATGGTGGAAGTATTTGACTTCCCTCGGAGAGGACGCGGGCAACGCAACAATATCAGCAGGAATGCACGAGTCACAACCTAGGTCTGAATCACACATGTACTTACAGTCTGTTTTGATACCCTTCAGCCAACCGGACACCGCTCCCTGAAGCATGCGCGCTGTCAAGATCGAATCATCAACTGCTTGAACGTTAGGCTTGGTCTGATAGCTTGCTGGGAAAGTCTTCTTCGGTTTAGATGGTTCCGAAACAAAAGGATCAAGTCTGCCCCATGCATGAATCCTTGTGATATCGGGCCTGAGGTTAAATGACACCCCTGGACATGCAATATGTGGCTCGCCTTCCCAGGCCGCCTGGCTCTCATTGAAGGTTGGGCCGCTCAATGAGAGGCCATCGACAACGGATGCGAGCATCGATGCAACCAGACAAACTGCTGCGGGAGTGGACTTACCTGCACTGCCCCTCGAACCACGAGAACCCTTTGAGGACCTAGAGCCTCCAGACTTACGCGAACCACTGGAGCCCCTCGACTGAGATCGGTCTCCCTTCTTCTTTCGACGTTTGTCTTTCTTGCTCTTGTCACTCTTCTGAGAATCTCGTGAGGGCGATCTTGCAGGAGTTGCCTTCCTGGGTCGTTGCTGACCTTCATGGGAGAATTCACACTTGTCCCCTCGCTTACAGCGTCCAGCCTTCCAAAACTTGCATGCAATCTTGGAGGTGTCCCGTTTCTCCTTTCCTCTGGACTGGGAGCGCCCCCTAGGACTCTTGGTGGCACTCTTCTCCCGTTTCTTAGGAACTTCATGCTTGAAAGGGCAGTTCTCCTTGCTACAACCCCCTTTGTTCCACTGAACACAAAACTTGCTGGGGATGAATGGTGTGCGCGCGTCGGCCGCAGGGGCGGACGTCTTGGCACCTCCAACACTAGCGGCAATCCGTCCCCGATTGTCCTCTAGCCTTTCCCTCATGAGATGTCTGCGAACAGCGTCATACAGGAATTGATAGCAGTGCTTTGAACTTCCCTCTTCGGCCCGGTGGTACTCCTCAATGTCATGAGCGATTGCCCTGTGATTCTTCACTTGTTGGTAGAATAGAGTTTCCAGGACTGTGGTTTCAGGCAAATGAGTGACACCGGTAGTGACTGAATCCCAGTTCGTCAAGAAAGTCTTGAGATTGTCGCCCTTCATTCTCACATTGAACAGATCACTGAGGGAATAGGTGGCTCCATGTTTGATATTTGTGCTGAAGTATTCATGCATCATGAGTAATACCTGTCTCCCCCGTACTGGACGATCTTTCTGGGACTCCTTCTCCTTGAATGTGTCAACCTTGCGTGCGAATTCACCTGTGGCGATGGACGACAGTGCGGCGAGAAGCTTGGCATCAAGGGTAGTGAACCCGTCGGGACTTGCTAGACCTTCGATTGTTTGACCTTCAATCCAAACCTTGTTGATCCATGAGAACGCTTTGTCAGGCTTGGAAGATGCGGCCCTCACCGCGTCCCTCACCCTGATTTTCCAGTTGCGATAGTTCTCAGGTTGTGGAAAAGAAGGTATCTTGATATGGTCAGCTTCCTTCGTGGTACTACTCTTTCCCCCCAATACCTGTTTGAGCTTCCTCATGAGAGCCTTGTCTGTCAATTCATCGTCATCATCGTCAAACTCATCTCCTCCGTCTGGGTCGCTGTCATCCCCCGGAGGTCCAGGTGTCCACCCCCCGACTTAGGAATCTTGAGAAGCGGAATGCCTGGACGCCCAGGATTAATCGGGTCACCTGATGAACGACCTCCACCAGGGTTGTCTCCTCCCCCTCCTGGCGGTCCACCACCACCATTACCTGGCCCGCCCCTTCCGAAGTTGCCCGACAATGCATGTGCTGCTAATGACCCGTACCCATCATTCCATGGACTCACCGGTTGAAAAACTGCAGCGTTAGGGGAAAATACGCTTCCGGGTTGAGACTTAAGGGATGGAGTACCGAACAGTTCAGCAGTTCGTAGTGATCTAACATCATCGTGCTGGGACAAACCTGCAGGTGGTGCCTCATGCACTGGTATGGTTTCACGAAGTTCGGCAGCTCCTTCCGGAACACCCGGCGCATCATCCTTCCGTTGCTTCATTTCGCGAAGCTCCTTCAGGAGTTGTGCCTGGATTGATTCCGTCTCAGTTAGCCGCCTTTGCAAATCCATAGACGCTTGTTGTTGCTGTGCCAAGTTCATCTCAAGGGATGAGACCTTCTGACTCTGAATCATTTCGATTCCAGCGATATGCTGACGGTGATTCATGGACATTTCCATGAACTGAGTCTGAGCCTGCTCTTGTAGTGTTTGATATCCAGCTTCGGCTGCGGTGATGAATAACTTCGCCTGGACCCTCATCTCCTCATTTTCAGAGAACGCTTCATCAGCCTCGTTTCGGAGTCTCTGTGCTGCGAGCATTAGTTCTGCTCGTTGCCCCTCAAGTTGCTGATTTTGCGTGGCCTGGCGCATCATCTCCGCGAGTACAGCTGGAGGCGTGCTCACAAAGGAAAAATTGGCCTGATTGAACACCGGCGCGGTGTTCCCACCCGCTCCCCCTCCGTCAGTTGACATGTTGGATCCTCCGTCTGGTGTGAACGAGACGCCCGGATCCATCAACGGTAGATGGAAAGCGGCGGGGTTTCCACCCGCGCTCTCACGCCCATCCGCACCATTGTACGGCGCAGCCAGCCTCGCGAGGGCCCCTGGATCCAGGGATAAGTCCATGGCTGCGAATGACGCGGGAGCAATACTACGGGCCTAAGGCTATACGGCTGATAACCTATGTTTACAGGAAACCAGCCAATATCGCCCACCTTTTCACTTGAGCCAAAGATCGATGGTCGAGAGGTATATAGTACACAGAATACGTGGAACACTTAGTAAAAACAGAAAGCACAAGAGTGGGCAACTCTGGGGCACAAACCTTGCGATGTCGGAGTCGTTGTACCACGGAAATCTTCTGCAGCCAAGCCTGGGCCAACACTCAGTAGGTTGAAACTGATGGCGTTGATCGTAATTACAGTACATGTTCCCGCATTGTCTAATGGCGTTCAACCTAATAGCGATGGCCTCCAACCTAGTAGCTTCTTGTTACTAGTGGCTTCTTAGTTACTAGTAGCGATGCCCGGGTTCCTAGTAGCGATGCCTGGGTTACTAGAAGCGTTGATCGTATTCCCGCTTTGTTTGCGCCTCAAAGATCTGTGCACTGAAGCCTGTCTCCTCTGTGCACTGAAGGAAGCGCTCCGGATTGTACCTCGATCGCACCGGATCACAGCCAATTCTTTTTATAGACTTCCATCAAACATCATCAAACCTATCCGTTTCCATCTGTTTGGTTCAGGAGCGTGCCAAAGCAGTGTGGCAAAGGCCACGAGCAAGGCTCGTCGCAGTTCGGTGGTACCAATCTCGCCCGAAAGGCGTGTCCTTGGTGGAGCACTGCTAACTCTTCACCTCTGTGAGCTCCTTGTCGTACAAGGCCCGTGGCCCTGCCTCCTAGGAGCTTACCAGACTTCCTTGAAGAAGCGCTCGCACTATTCATGTGGTTCCTAGATTTTCAAGAAACTTAGTTTCCAAGAGGACCTATGGCGCCTAGTTTCAGATTCACAACAGTGAAAAGGATCAGCACCGATGCGCTTCGTACAGCTTCCTGTGGCTGGCCCTTCGCCCTACTTTAGGTGCTTCCTCTTGCCGCCTTTTTCTTCTTCGACAATCAATGTGTCTTGGCCAGTCTGGGGGAAACAAATGGCACATCAGAGCTGTCACCGAAGTCCTTTACCCGGGCGGAAAAGCATTGCAACTCCCTCAGATGCACTGACCTAGCAGGGAACAGTCTGGTGGCAAGGAGCTTGAAAACATTGTCAGCCACGCTCAAAGTGCGAGTCATGCAGTCACGCAGTAGAGAAAACAATACATTTGATCTTCCTCAACGTTGATCCTGGCCTCCCAAGACTCTTTGTGCAGAAAGCACTGCCACTTGCTAGTATCGGTCACTTTCACTTCATTGCCTGAGGCCAAGCTGGACCAAGCGGAAACCAACAAGCAGCAAGTTGTTTGCATCACTAGGACCATCCACACCCATCGGCGATAGAACCAAAGGGACAAAGCTTCTGGCCCAAGAATTCAACAAGAGTATTTGACCCTGACTCATAGATGATGACTATTACAGTTCCACATGCTTCATATGCAGGCTGGATTCCTATTCCTAACTCAGTTGTAGATTTCCTCTCGATCAACATGCGTAGGTATCCGAATTCAGAAGACTCGACAAGGTTAAGAAAAAGACTAGAATTTGGATTCACTTCAACTCAGTTCACAATAGTCTGGCGGCAGCGTGCTCCAAGGGAAGCAGCAAAGAAACATCAAGCACTCATATCTTTCGTGGCCAAGTCACAGCTATGATCAACGCCCCAAACCCAGCCCAAAAGCGGCTTCCAGGGCAGAGCCAATTCGAGCTGCACCAACAGCCGTGAACGCACCATTGTTGGCTCCTTCTCCTTGTGAGAACAAGAGTTGATCAAACCCATTGAAGTTGGACAAGAAGTCATCAGTCGTCACAGTGCATGATTAGGGGTAGTGATATGTACAACCGTTTAGTAACAGGGGCAATGAACATTGAGAAAGACATAGAAAGACGGGCAGTAGCGCATTACAGTATGTGACAATTCTCCATAGGACACTAGCCATCTTGTTACAAGTGTTTCACCCTTGCACTTGCACCTCTGAAACCTTGAAATCCAACAGTTTCACCTTGAAGTCTGTGATGAAGCCACCGGCGAGGTTCCTGGGTTCAAAGTGTCCCAAATCGAACTACCCGGTGACTTACAGGCTCAGTTAGCACTAAAGCGATGCCACAGATTCTTATCGCCCTTCCATACGGACCGGCAATGATGGACATCCATACCTGTCTGAGCCAAGCCAAGCTGCTTCAGATTTTGGACAAAGCGCTGTCTCCCTCGAAAGGAGGTAAACGGGTCCGCAAACTCACAATCCTCGGTGTACAAAGGCACATCGATGTCACCAGTCAGGAAGTAGTTGCGATCGTAGTCTGCTCGCAAACGTTCCACCAGCTCTTCGCGGCTGTTTGGAGCCTCACCTACTGGCATCTCCTCCTCAGCTCCAACCAGTGAGGCTCGAGCATTGCCTAGTGCCTCGGCCGCATTCCAAACCACTTGATCCCACCATCCTGCACCTGCTCCAGTTCTGGGTCGTGAGAACCTTCTCAACCTATTGGTATCCGGAGGTCTATGCACAAAGGCATGCCCCACGAATCCCAGAAATAAAAGCGTGGGACAGAAAAGGCTTCTGCGCTTCAAGCGGCAAAGCTTTGCATTGAACAACATAGGACTACTCACTGCCATATGAAGAAACAGTTCCAAGTCTGCTGCATCTGCGAATTTCGTGCCACATGCTAGGAACTTTATCTGAAAGAGAGTCGCATAAATGGAAATGATCTATATACACATATATATGTACAATGTACACGATATTCAGTGATGAACTTGACAAACACTCAGACATATCATCAACCCTTCCTAATACCGGATTTGGATGAATTGGATCCGCAATTTGTCAATGTTGCACACACCATGTGTGTGTGTGTTGAGTGCTGCATGCTGCGGCAAGCAGAGTCAAACCTGCCCAACTACAGTATAACCTCTGCCGTTCTCACAGGAACTTATTCCAACGCAAATGTAACGACAAGAAAGGCGTAGTTCTAATCAATGATTGATTCCCCTCCACAGCTGAGGGCGCAGCCAAAACTCGCAAAGGTACGGTGCGAGCCAATTGTCAGCAGCTGGGCCGTTGTGGAAAAATAGACGAGGGTGTCATGCTGGAACATTTATATAATGCTAACATGTCCAGTATGTATTCAAGCATATACATTCATGTACCTGGTGGAGCTGCATAAATGAAGATGGCGCTACCCAACTCCACAGCTGCAGCTGCATCCTGAGAAAATCGGACTGATCAGTGAGGGAAGACGTCTGTCAATGTTTGACATGTGTCCATGTCAAATTCCATTGGAATTCACGTGCAAGCACCTTATCAAGCTTCAATCCGATTAATTCCACTGCTCGGGCTGGTTTGTTTGTTGCACCTGCTCTGCGCCGAGACCACCAACTTGAAGGACCTACCACAACTTTTGGTGGCACTCTCAACACTCTGTGGAAGCATTGAGCAACCGTGTGTGTGTGTGTGCAACCCTTGGAGTCACAGGGTTTCTTCCTTTGAATTTGTTTTTGTTATCCTTTCTTCAGCAGGGGCCAAGGCCTCCAGCGATGAACTTTGTCCACTTGTCCAACGAAGATAAATCACCGGAGGGGAAGCGGATGGAGACGTCCATTCGTGTACCTGCTATGGTTGCGAGCGTTGTAACCGCCCTCCACTTGTAGAGGTTTCAGGCTGGCAGGATGATTCATCAGGTCTGCAGATGTGCAACTCATACCTTTTCCTGGAACTCTTAGGCGTTCATACCTAGGTGAGCGTGTGGCATGTGGCATTCAGTTCCGTACGCATTGTCTTGAGTGTGTCTAGCTTGAGGCCAGCCCAGGGTGGGCCCGAAGAGCGCCCCCCCGGTGGACCCGTCGAACGGGGGTTTGTCAAACGTATCCCCTGCCCGGATACAAAGCAGTCCGCAGCGGACGGGGTAGGCTTGTGCCTAAGTCATTTGCCGAGACCTGACGAATTATTGAACTTGAGCACTTACTGCCAAAACGTGACCGCAGCGGTCCAAGCAGGCTTGACGCCACACGGTGGTCACAGCGACCGAAGCCTTTCTTAGGTTCATTGGAACCTGTCCCCACCTTAGGTGCACACACAGCGTACACTCCAAACCAGGCAGGTCTTCCTAAGTCTTTCTAATGCGGTTTGGTTTCATCTGTTCCTGGCCCCTCCATTTGGTTCCCCTTTTCATCTTTTCCCCTCACACACATCTTCTTTCCTCTTTTCTTTCATGTCTTCCTGCCTTCATGTCTTGGCATCTCACCCCTTCTTTCTTTTGCGCGCAAATTGGTCCAGCCCTTAGTTTGCACGCGCACATTTACATCTACTTCAAACCCAGGTTTCAGGCCGCCCAGGTTTGACAAAGAGGTGAGGTTCATTTTTGTCCCTGTGCATTTGGCTTCCTCTTCGTCGCAACCACGTACACTTTTGTCCTGTCTTGTCCCCCTTGTCATGTCTTCATCTTTTTGTCCTTGCTGCGCGCACACATGCAGATCAGTCCTGGCCTTGGGTTCCTTCAAATTTGTTTTTGCAGTCTTTAGCTAAGGAAAGAGCCTCCCCTGTGGGAGGCGTGTGTGTGCAACCCTTGGAGTCACAGGGTTTCTTCCTTTGAATTTGTTTTTGTTATCCTTTCTTCAGCAGGGGCCAAGGCCTCCAGCGATGAACTTTGTCCACTTGTCCAACGAAGCTAAATCACCGGAGGGGAAGCGGATGGAGACGTCCATTCGTGTACCTGCTATGGTTGTGAGCGTTGTAACCGCCCTCCACTTGTAGAGGTTTCAGGCTGGCAGGATGATTCATCAGGTCTGCAGATGTGCAACTCATACCTTTTCCTGGAACTCTTAGGCGTTCATACCTAGGTGAGCGTGTGGCATGTGGCATTCAGTTCCGTACGCATTGTCTTGAGTGTGTGTGTGTGTGCGTCAACCCCTGTTTCCAAGGGTTCACGCAGGGGAGTGGAGCAGGCCTGCAGAGCTCCACTTAACAAAGCTCTCTGCAGTGTCCTGAGGATATCGGAAAGGACGCTTGCCGACGTACCTGCACCGGAAACTGTTGCTCAAGCTTTTCCACTTTCGATTTGATTCATGGTGGTTTCACACGATACCTTCCCCACAAACAGGTTTTCCCACCACAGCTTTCAGCCGCTTGTGCATTACCGCCAGCAGAGCGAGTGAAACAATGTTTAACATTTCAAGTCACCGGACCTGTTCACCTTGCCGTTCCATCACCTTCCTTCTCACCGTGGGAATTGAGTTAACAGCAAACCAATGTCAGAGTGTGTGTGTCCTCACATTGTTTTTTGTGATGGTGGTGGCCTTTTTGACCATGCAGAAAACCATCTCTGCGTAGCTCATGTTCCCCTGCGACAGGGACAGCTCTTCAGCGGTACCAAAAGCCAAAGGGTACAGATTGGTACAAAGGTCATGTCCTGCCTGCAAGATACCTTTGATGATACCTGTCAGGCCTCACAACACCTCACGACGGCAAGTGTGTGGGCCTCTGTCCATGAGCCAGAGAGAATGACATCCACCGGACCGCGGGCAATGTAGTTCCTTCGGCACACTTCTCATGTGTTAGCAGCTAGTCAGCATACAAGACACAAGACTCGGGGCAAGGCATGCCGCAAGGCCCCTATGCTTCAAGAATTGAGCTCCCGGCAGCAATGGGTCCAGGATGCTGCCCATGTGATCCGGAGCCCAGCCATTCTGGGGTGAAACAAGTTCAGCCGGGCATTCTGTGTTGAAGAACTTTCTAGATGAGCTTCGGCCAATACGTATGATTAAACCTCTACGTCGTATCAAGTTCTTACGCTGCTGCTTACGCAACCACAGTTTTAGCTTGCGCGAGGCCTTGGTGAACAAAAGTCTTACGCAAAGCTTACGCCATGACGCAATTATGATTCCGAAAGGTTCCCCCCAAGAATTTGCTTACGCAGCAATACATGTTTTATTCATGTTATTGTAAAGAACAGTACTTGCGCAAAGCTTACGCAACACGTGTGTTCAACATGGAGCTTACGCAACCTTGCGCATCACAATGTTTTACTTACGCCACAGATTGATGTGACATAGATGCTTAATGGAATGTCAAGGGAGGTTGTGGCTATTGCTCAGATGAAAAAGTAGACTTGGTCGACTTTGTCAAACATGTCAAAAGTCTGTTGATGAAAGTCATCTAAACAAGAATCATCTTGAAGCAAAGTTTAAACTCTCATGAAAAACTATATGGCATTCATTTGCTTGAGATTCCGCCACCTCCAGCCTGGCCTCCAGTGGTTCAGGAAGCTGAAGCGATGCGGTGGAGCGCCCGCAAATTGCTTGGAAGAGCCGTGGAAACCTGCGGCAAAGTGGTTCATCCAAGGACACAACACTAGGGAAAGTGTTGAATTGATTGCAATGGTCTATATTCTATATAAAATGCCTTCTTTCCAAAGCCTGGACTGTTAGACACCCCACTATATATTTCCACAAAGGCTGATACACTCCTCTGCTGGGCCACCGGCGGACCCCAAAGATTTGCTGGCATCGGCAATGCACAAAAGGCGGTGAGATAGGTGACCCTGCAGGTTTCGGTCGGAAGCAACCACAGTAACGTGATGGCTGCGCACAAAGCTTTGGGGAGTAAATCATGTCTACGTAAGTATGCAGGCGTTTGCCCAAACAGAATGTCATGAGAAAAAAAGCATGACTTGCACGGCTTTGGAATGTGTGTGTGTGTCCCACCCTGGACAAAGGGTCTTTCACCGCCACTCTCTCCATTTTACACAGGCAGGGGCGTGTGGCCTTCTTGTCCTACCACACGCAATGAAGCTGTGGACAAGAAGGGGAAGCAGGGACTGATCATCCCTGTGTACCTGCACCTTCAACTGTTGACCAAGCTTTTCCACTCTCGATTTGATTCACGGTCGTTTGCATGATACTTCCCACAAACCTATTCGTCCCCAGCAGCTGCGCCGCCGGTTTGATTGCTGCCACCTTTGTGACAACAATGTTAAACCTTTCAAGTGCTCGGACCCATGCACCTTTCTGTTCTCTCACCTTCCTTCCCAACATGACTTGCGTTAACTGAAAACCCAAGTTCGAAGTGTGTCCTGCTCAGCCGTCCCACTCGGGTGCTGAGTGTGATCCCCGTCACAAGGGCGCCGATCTTACATGGGAAAGCAACCACCCCAACGCACCACCGCTCACTGGACTCTCACAGGAAGGCACCGACACCCTCACAGAATCAACCGCCACACCGGCCGCCGGGCCAAAAAACGGTTCTTGACGAATGTTTCAGATTCCAACTTCCAGATCTCAGATTTCAGCATTCAGTTTTCTTTTCATGTTTTCCAATCATGTGCGGGTTTCTATGTTTGCTATGTTGCTGCCGCGATTCTTTCCTCGACAGAACTCAAGGATGGGCATTACAGCTCTTCAGCTTAATTCGAGATGCATGAACACACACCTACCAACAAGCTCACATCTAGCACCACCTTCCAACATACTCACCATTGACACCAGAGATGACACCTTCAACAACAACAAGACAATACAACTCGGCACTTCCCCGCTGCTTTTTGCTACCGCGCCGCGCCGCGCCATAGCTACGACCACGACATGCATTTTCCGTGGCCCTACGCTCACACCACGCCACCACCATCACCTACCACACAACCTCAACCCACATGGCCGATGCCACAACCATCAACTGCACCCACTTTTCCCCCGACACAACCATCGGCATACCCTCATCCACAACCACAACCATTTCAACCACCACCGTTTCTGTCCAACCCTACCGCCACTGCACTGACCTACGGCACACCATCCACTTGGACTTTTGTCCAACCATGTCACGTGCCACCGCAGCCCACACATCCAACTCCAGTATTTCCGACAGCAGCACCTCCCCCTTCCTACCTGTTGCCACCACATCATCCCACACCACCGGCTGAACTCCCTCCCCCCACTACACTGACACATCCCCCTCCAACACAGCAACAGACTGCGATTGCCAATCATCCATCCACAGACCCCCAATGCGCCATCCCCCAGGGCGTTTGGCAACCCTATTCAGCCTTTCCCCCCGTCACACAGCCTCCACTCCAACCGTTGCCCCCGCCACCACCTCCACAAACCATCAACGCCTCAACACCAGCCCAACCTCCACTTCAACAGCAGCCACCATCGGATCCAACACCACCAATCCAATCCACCCCTACGACTGCCCAGGACAATCCATTACCAGTCCAAAACACGCCCCCACCAACTACCGTATCCCAACATTCAGCATCCCCATCGCTGGTATCTGCCACACCAGCGCCTGGATCTTCACTACCAGCACCAGACAAACCTGACACCACTGCCTCACCGGCACCGCAACCACCTTCCCCGCAACCACCACACAGCAGTCGCCGCCACCACCACAAGAGCCGACGCAAGTCCGACCATCACCACAGAGGACGCCACCGCCACCGCCGCCGACATCACCATCACCGCCACTCCAAACATCACAGCACAACCCGGCGACGGCGGTCGCCTTCAACATCCACTTACACATCCAGCCTTACGCCTTCCCGCAGTCGCTCGCCACCACAACCCATTGATCTACGCCCTAACACCGAACACTCCAACCCAGACCCCTCTCAATTTCCCACCACAGCCGTCCTTCGTCGCCCAATCAACCGTTGGCGACCTCCACCCAACTTTCACACCTTTACACCTGCAGACCAAATCCTGGAATGGCTCGAATTCCACGCCACCCAACTCGACAATCCCAACCGACCACAACACCAGTACATTGCCAATAATTGTCCTCACAGACTGCAACATCACCTACAAGGAGATCACCGATTTCCGACAATATACCCACGCCAAGTGGAACGACACAACTCACCAATACGACCAATTCCAGTACTACGCCATTTCACTTCCCTTCCTCAACACCAAAGCCACTACACCAGAGCCACCTGCGGTTTCCCGCGCCACATCAACCCACCGGGAAGTCGCCCACATCAATGCAGGCCACACAGGCCCCGTCGGCAACATTTCCAACATTCTACGCCAAGGGCGATTTTTACCCAGCACACTCCACTTTGCCAACTACCCTGGATTTTTTGCCCAGGGCGTTCGCATCACCCACAACCAACCCCATGACCACAACGAACTTGCCCGCATCATCCACAACACCTGGCAACTCCACAAGAATTCCCACTCCCTTATCATCACACTCCTTGCTTGGGGTGCTGCCACAAAATATACCTCTGGAGGTGAGGAACACGCCATGAACCTCCTTAACGACCACCATGGTGCAGTCTTTCATCAGAAGGGCCGCTGCTGGGTGATCCACCCGGACCACGCCATTGTCAAAGGACTGGCCTGGTCCACCAACTCCACTCCACCGGACCCATAACACCACTACCACACATCTACACACCACTACCACCTCCACATCCACTTTTGTCTCACACCACCACCCAACCTTTGCTGTAACAGCAAAAAAGAGCCTCCTGCATCGGCCACGCGAATTTGGAACCCTCAATTTTTCAAGCTCTGCAGTGTTTGCTGTAAACATCTTTCTTCGAATTGTACCGACTGTTTTGATGGAGTATTTCACATGTCAGATTCTCATGTACTTGCTTGTCCAACCGGCATTGCATATTCGCTCTTTTGCCTGTGGGAATTTGATGCTCGTTTAATTCATATGCACGGCCTCGTGATGACGCGCTCCCTCAGACTCGCCGCTGTCCGGCTGCTTTGGCGCGCTGCCGCAGCAACCTGTGACGATTCTTAGCTACTGTACACCCCTACATCTCAGAATCATGAGTAGCACACCGACACCTCTACAAAACGACACCTCAACTCTCATACACAGAACCGCAGTGGCACTTTCGCAGGTGCAAAACCTGCTCCGACAAGCAACAGATATTGTAGCGCACCTCCACACTGTTTTCCTCCACCACTGCCACCAAGCGGACCCCACTTTCCGCCAACACTTTCAGCCACTTCCAACTCCGCCCAACCACCCTATACGTTTACCATCTACCACCTCATCCTCTGACTCAGCACCATCCAGACCACCCAACCGTTTACCAGCACCACCTTCAAAAGACTCAGACGACACTCCAACAACACCCCCAGATCCACAACCCACCACAACACGCAAGCGGAAGCAACCACCCCCACCACCACTGAACCGACAGGCGGACTGGGATGCTTGGGACGGCGACGCTGACTGTCGCCTGGTCGAACTCAAAGAAAACCCCAAACTTCGTCCCAACTGGACCACTGTGGCTCGCCGAGTGGGCTTCTCCGTTGAGCAATGCCAAGCCCGATGGCAAGAACTCAAAGACATGCAACGTCAGCAGGACCAGCAACTCTTCTCCACACCACTACCAACCGCACCACCAAGACAAGCACCTTCCCCCTCACCAACACCCACATCACCAGCAGTTTCCCCAGCACCACATTCACAACCGGATTTCTCCCCTTCCCCCATAACAACGCCACCGACTTCACAACATCCAACGACTCCTGCTGCTGTGCTGCTGCCGCCGGCTGCTGAGCGGGACCTTAGTGAAGACAGTCATCCGGAGAAATCTCCACTTACGCCCGTGGTCAGTTATTTCATTTGACCCGTTTCACCCACCTTTCTTTACGGCGTACCGCAGGACAAATCCACTGACCCGTACTGCCATTTGGTTTTTCACATCCAATCTACTTTCACCAGGTTGCCCAACTTCGATTTGTCAGTTTTCAGGCTCACTTCAGCTCCGCAGCCTTTTGTACGCCATTTTATTCCATCAATTGTCATGGCCAATCCTCGCGCTCGCCCTCATAGCAACCCTGCCGATACAGAACACTACCTCCCACAGCGCCCTCCAAGCTGGCTCCAACCTTCGATTAGCACTCAGCCAGATTTTCAATCCCTCAACGGCTCTTTGGACCTCCTCTTTCTGGTCAACCAACACCTCCGCCGTCACCCATTCCACACTGAACCTATGCCAAGCCAGACTTATTTTCAAGACCAGAGAGCATACAACCTCCTTTACCGACTGCGCGGTGACTTGATCCTGCTGGACCACTTGATCGATAACCTCTCCCAGGCTCGTCGGCTCCTTCAATTTGTTACCACCGGCCCCGGGCTCCCAGGACAATACCGCATCAACCCCACAGCCACACTCTCCAGCAGAAACCTGGCCATTATCCACAACATACCGCCAGGTTTTCCACTACCACCCGGACTTTCCAGCCGTTCACCCTCCCCTTCACCACGTACCCCACCACAAGACGCAGAACGCCTACACTCCTACTGGACAGGCCCTCCACCACAAGCCACCCCGGCAACCCACATCAACACTACCACTCACACTAGGGAACGTTCACGGTCCCGCGACAGTCTCTCACACCGCATTGGCTAACTACAGCAACATCCAACCTCCAGCTCTACGGCAGCCGCCGCGCAGTTTGCCAACTATGAGACGGCATCCCTGCCCACGGCTACTGTTACATTTTGTTTTTCAAGTCTCACTGACTTTCTCGGCGAGCGGAAAAACTCAGCCATCCAACTGAACTTCTT